AAACAAAAAACAAAAAACAAAACAAAAAAAACAACAAAGAAAGGCTATCATTTATTAATTGCTTGCTATCTGCTGGGCATTGTCTTATATTATTATGATGTGGTTCTTGGCATTTTGATGCTGAGGAAGTAGAGACTTTAGAGAGGGTAGGGCCAGAATTTCCCCCAGATCTGTCCACCTGTCAAGTTTGCTGTGAAGCCCATACAATCCTGCCTCCGTGCCTTGATATGTCACAAAACATAACTGCCATTTAGGTAGGGGTCAGGGTCACTTTTTCCCGGGGAGAGGTTCAAGACTCCTAAACTCCAGAGAAGATTCTGGGAGCAGGTATCCCCATACCACGTCGTTAGCTGAAACAAGGAATGCCGCCACTAAGGGCTGCGATAGGCAATAAGAGGGAATTCGGGTTCACCCATTAAGTCATTCCTTCTCCCCAAGGGCACGTTGCTAATTTCCTGAATGTTCTGATTATCTGGTGCTGATAGTATAGGCTTTGTTTGAGAGTGCTGAGTATCTGGAACTCTTTCTACATTTCCGTAAATTATTCTGCCCGGTCTTTCATTTACTCAATTGGCTCTTGGGACTTCTGTCTTTAATATGAGAAATGGGAATGTTTTAAGTCACCAAGAGAGCTTATAGGAAATGGAAAACAAGTGTTTACTGTTCCCCTGAGTTTGCTGTAAATCATCGCCGGTTTTCTCATAGACAAGCCGAGAGTTACTTTTGCCCCAGACTCGTGCGTGATCGTACTCACATGGGTTCACAGCCAGCCTGGTCCCAGCTCCAAAGGTCAACTGACTGTAGCTACCAGACAACACAATAGCGGGGCGCTTTACAAGAACTCTAAGCTGGGCAGGGTCAGCCTTCTGGGGGCAGCAATGTCTTCTGTCTCCATGCTACAGAGTCCTCCAAATCACTCTTTCCCTGACTCAAGAGAAAAGTCTGTCTCACCAAGTCCCAGTTCCTCAGCTTTCGGTGTAATAAGCCCACAGACCTTTCCCTCACAGCCAGACTGGAGCTGGTCGGCCTTCCTGGAGGGTGGACACCCTTTCTGGGTTCCACACTGAAAGCGAAGGAGGAAAATTGGAGGTGTCTGAAGAAGAGCCAGGAATTAATTGGGAAATGAATCTGGAGGGGGAATTCAGAGCCCTGGCAATAGATGGCACACCTAGGGGACGGTTAACTCCTGGAATCGAGGCCTGCACAAGGCTCTTTTAGAAAGGTGTTCTGTTATTCCTTGAGGGCAGAGAGAGAGAGGCTAAAATTGCCAGAGGTATAGTCAACATAAAGGCACAGGGAGGACTGCTTAACTCTGATGGTTGTGAGAATCAGGAGTGAGTTATATACAGGGCCCCAGAATCTTTTTCTCTAGAGGTTTCCAAGATTAGGGTTAACATCCATATGGGGAAAAATAAATCTCCAAAGTTTGAGAGTGGTTTAGACAGGTACTTCTTGGTGAGAGTTTCACAGAACTCTAGTCCTTCAAAATTTTTCTGCAAAAAAGATTCTAAGCTCAAATTAGTTTGAAAAGTGCTGTTATACTCTATACTGACAAGCCATATTAGCTAATTTTAAAGGCTCTGAGAAGTCCTGCAGTAAAGAAATCCAGAGCTTCTCAAACTTGTTTGATCTAGTAAACTTCTTTTCTTAAAACACTCATTAAGATCTGTGGAGCATGTGGGTATATATAAATATAAATACATTCCTTAGAAGTCCCTTTTCTAGTTCCAAGAGTTTAAAATTCCATCCAAATTTTAATCCTTCAGTTTTCTGTGTTCTGAATCTGTTCTCCTGCCTGCTCCTGTGGACATGATTAGGGGTCTTATTGATTCTGATTATTTCTTTCTGATTATCACAAAACAGCTTCATTCTATTTGGGGAATTGCTGAACATGTAGTCAGCTGTAGAGTGAATTCTGCTGCTGCCATCAGGAACAGCTCGAGGGCAGGCACGGATGCAATCAACAGGCAGGAACCACAATGCTTCCGCACTTTGCAGAGTTTACCTTCTAGAAACAACTGCAACTTTAAAATCTTTCCCAAATGTGAATTTACCAGTCTTCTTTCCACCCACCTTCCTACACACCTTGGAGCTGTGTACTTCAAAGAAGATTTTGGTCCTAAGGGAGAAGTTTCCTTAGAACAAATGGAGGGAAGTTTCCTGGGTGGTCTCTCAAGTGGAGACGTAGGCTTCCTATATTTATCAAGAGATGTTTTTCCTTTTTCCTGTTAAAACCCACTTGTGCTACTTCCATATCACAGGCATTATGGTTCTTACATGCACTGGAACTCTGGTTCTTGAAAAATAGGTTGGGTTTCAGGCTTTCCAAATGCAGCCTGGGAGGGAAGAGTTTTTGCTAAAATGCCCAAATGAACAGGTAAAGGCAGCGGACGTTTTCCCCAGAGAGATGGGCTTTTTCTCACCCATGTGCATTTGGATGGATTCTATAATCTCCCATTTTGAAGTCTACGACAACTCTGTCCGTTGGGGAATACTTACTACTGTCTAAAGCAACAGGTTCTGAATAGTTCCTACCTCTCCACTCAGGCCTTCCTTCATTCCCCTAGCCAGAAGTCATATTTTCAACACTCATGTTTGGTGACACTTCTGTGCCAGACATTGGGCTGGGCTGTAGAGGTGTAAGGATGAAGGAGAGAGGGTCCTGGCCTCACCGAGCTTACAGTGCAGGGCAGGATGCATGGAAGTACCAGGGAACTAAGATAGGAAGTTGGTCATGCCTTCCTCTCTGTTCCCGTTGCAGCTTGCATGGATCTCCTCTACATTGTAACACTGAGCCCAGTTGTCTGTTTATATACGTTTACCTACTGGGAGATCCTGGATAGCAGAGACTACCATCTTTCCTTCCTTCCCTTCCTTTCCTTTCTTTCCTGCCTGCCTGCCTGACTTCTGCCTCCCCTCCTCCCTCACTCCTTTCCTCTCGCTCCCATCTAGCATAGTGTTTAGAATGTAATAGTTGCTTAGTAAATATTTATTGAATAGAAAAGCCTTCTAAATATTTTAATTCATTTTTGATGCAGTCCTGCTGTCTATCTTTTATTAAGACTATTTCATTTCTCTTTTGTGTTCTGTATGGTTCTCTTTTCTAAACTTTTTATTGTTTGTATTCCATTAATTAGGCTTTAAGCTCTTCCTATAGCTCTCAATTAGATATGGAGTTTTGTGAGAGTGTGTCCAATGGCCAGCGTCTTTGGGAAGTTTAATTTCCCACCTTTTATGAAAACTCGATGATAACAAAAATACATTTTTGGCATAATCAGTCATAATTTCTTTCCTGAAAAAGATCTCTCATCTCAAAAGAATCTAGAAGCAGCAAAAGAGTCTGTCTCAGTAATGAAAAGGCCAATACCCATGGGAGATTTCTAGCATTAGAAAATAAACTGCTCTTGAGCCAGTGGCTAGAAATTAAAATTTCAAAACATTCAAGCCTCATGAAGAAACATGAGAAATTGGCTCAGAAAGTGCAGATTCATCATCTAAGAAAGCAGAGTAGGGACTTTCTGCGTCTTTGGCGAGAGTCTCAGGTCAGGCACTTACTTGGATGCACCTGGAGTCTTGTTCTACTCCCAAAAGTGAGTGCTCGGCCACCTGTGTCCACACTGTGGTATGATCTAGTACAAATACCTGCCCTCTGCCACCCAGGGTGGCTGCGCAGTCACCTACAGGTTTACAGCACTCCCTCTTGGGGGAACAGAGCTTTTAAACAGCGTGTTCCAGGAGGCCTGGGTGGCTCAGTTGGCTGAGCGTCTGACTCTTGATTTCGGCTCAGGTCATTATCTCAGGGTCGTGGGTTCGAGCCCCGCTGAGTGTGGAATCTGCTTGGTTTTCTCCCCCTCCCTAAGCTCCCTTAACTCCCCGCCGCCATTCCCATCTGCTCTTTCCCTTTCCCTAAATAAATAAATACATACATACAATCTTAATAAAAATTAAACAGCCTATTCTATGGTTTTGATGATAAATTTCTCTTTCCATGTCACTTCATGCTCAGTAGACAGTCCTTCTAGGTTTCCACTTCTCTCACTGCCATCCCTACATCCTGACAACCCAGTTCAATGACTTGGCTGATTTCTACAGAAATGCCGAACCCTGCCTCCAGGCTGCCATGATCACCATGGCAAGAAGGCTCAGGATGAGCACACTGAGGACCATTTAGTGGCCTCCCAGGCCTGGGGTCTTCCTTCTCAGAGTATGGGGGGTTGGGGGGGAATGGCGCTCACAGTGAGTAGCATGGATAACATGAAGACAATAGTCAAATAAAAGTCGAATAGATTCGAGTTCCACTCATAACTCTCTTATTCCTAGCTGTGCAATCCTGGGCACATTACTTATGGGAATTTCTGTTTCCGTATCTGTAAAGTGGGCATGATGCCAGCTACCTAACAGTAGGATGGAATTGAACATGGAGTGAGAACTTCGTGAAAAACAGTAGTCGCTGGTGTATGCCAGGCATTCAGTCAATAGTAGCCATAATGTAATGATTCAGCAGTGCTCCACACGAAGGGCAAGACATGAGGCTTTTTGCAGCTCAAGGAGACCCATCCCTTCCCCACACTCCCCTCCAGCACCCCTGAGTGCCCCCACCCTGGCTGGGATGCTCTCCCATAGGACAGGTATTTCATGGATCCAGGGGGAAGTGTAAGAGACAGTCTCAGCCATAGGGTTGTCGGGTGGGGTAGACCCCTTAGCTGCCAAGGAGAAAGTTCTGCTTCTGAAACTGAACCAAGAGTAAATTATTGTTTTTTTTTTCTCTCCCAAAACTTGAGGATTTGTCTTCTAAAAGCACTGTTTGCAAAACCCTTGTTCAGCAGAGCCTTGACCATGTCATTAGACCTAACGCCCTGCTAAGTTACTCCCAGACAACCAAGGATTCTTAACGACGGAGCAGACCACATCACGGACTCTCATTATTACAGTATCCTTCCATAATCTATTCCTATCTACCACATTTCCCTTATCGAAATGAAGAATTCTATAATACTCACAGGGATGAACAACAAGCCTGGTACCTCTTCCAAATGTAAGTCTGTAGCTTCCTCCTGATACACACAGTGAGGAAAGCCTTTGATAAAACCTGTCTTATGTGACCACCATCGACCCACTGCCCCAGTGGTGTTGGGGCAACCATCCAGGGAAAAACCACTGGTGGATGCTCTGGGAGTTGCAGGAAATCTCCTGTAGCCCTTAGCCGTAGAGTCAGGGCTGGGGGTGTCGGGAGCTGGGGGTGAGGGCTGAAGAGTGCTTCACCCTCCTTTACCCAGAACACTTGCACTCCTGTCAGCAGAGCAGTGGGGAGCAACCTCCCCAAACCGCCACACCCTGCCTGCTTCGCCAGGTCACTAAGGGTCTGACCCCATTACTCTTCTGTCAGATACAAGGGGCTTCAGAAAGGCGGTGAGGCTGGAGGGCCCAGGAGGCTTGATGCTTTATCGTGCTGAAGCCTGTCTACCTCCTTTTCCTGAAATGCTGCTGTCCTGTCTTCCCCCTGCCTTAGCTCTTGAGAACTACCCATTCCTAGGTGTTTTCCTGTGTGAGGCCCAGGGGTTGGTCCCTGCATTTCTCTGGTTCCAGGACAGACTCCAAGCGGGATCCAGGCACTTCCCAGTGACTGGTGCTAGGCCAAAGCATCCAAAGCCCTTTGATTTTTTTTTAAAGTAAGCTCTATGCTCAACGTGGGATTTGAACTCATGATTCTCAGATCCAGAGTTGCATGCTCTACTGACTGAGCCAGCCAGGTGCCCCTGATTCCTGTATTTCTAAAGACCTTGATTCAGACAGGGACTGGCTTTTATGAAAACATAGGACAGAGAAAAAAAAAATCACAAGAGTTTCCATATAATTTTGAAAGAGGGGAATACCAGAGACCATGCTCCCTACTTCAGAGATGCGGAAACTAAGCTCTCGAAGGCATGGCCTGGGCCGGGGTCCTGAACCAAGGCGGGAGCTCAGCCGTCAGCTCCTGGCTGGCATGTGCTGCTGGCCTTCAGCTTACCATACTCTGGGCTCGAGGGCCATGTTAGCAAAGAGCTGTGAGGCTCTGCTGAGCTCAGGGCTGGGATTGAGGGGCCGGGGCCTTGCCCCTGCCCTGCACTGCCTGTACCATGTGGCCCAGGACAGATGCTTGGACACTGGGCCTCTAGATTCCCCTACAACAAGGGCAAGATGTTCTCAAGGACCCTTCCACCTCTCATGGACTGTGGGTCTTTGTTCAGTTGGAAACCCAGCCTCAGGGAAGAGCAGGGCAGACCTTCACAGAGCATGGGAGCGTGGTCGGTAGAGATGCCGAGACAAGCAGAGGGCAAAAGAAACAAGGGACAGGCAAAGGTTTGGGACAGTGACTGCCTAAGAACCTTAGTTGTGGCACTGATGAATGACATTGTATCTCTCCCCCTCCCCGCCATGGATGGAAGAAGTTGTGCAGCACTGGGGGTAAGCACAGTGGTTGCAGTGGTTGGGGGTGTCTGGAAGGGGGTCATTCGTAGAGGATGGCCCCAGCTTACTTACTTGGTGTAACCATCACTTGGGTCCCCTTCCCAAAAGTGAGTCTGTTGTCCCCATAGCTACACTCTGGGTAAGTGAATTACAAAAAGGTCCTGGGGTTGTGCATGGTCTCATGGAGGACACATGGCCTTCTCTGGAGCTCTACAAGCTGGGGACCTGGAAAGGCTGATCTGCACATTTTCCCTATAATGCCATCTCTGAACCTGCCTAATGGGGTTTGGCAGCACCCCCCACCTACCCCTTTTCCTAAACACAGCTATCAACAAACAGCCTCTAGCTATTTCTTCTCTGGGGAAAACAGCCTTCACTAAAGTTTGTGAAAAACCTGCCTCCTACGGAGGCCAGTGGGTGTGTTTCTAAAGATACCAAGGCCGGGGCTAGGGGCTGGGGGAAGCATTTTCTCACCTCAGCGGCCATGCCTGAGAAGAAGGTACCAGTTTTTTGGGGGACATGCACGAATGTATTGCCAGAAAGAGTAGGAGCAAGAGCATTTCCAGTATGCCGCGCTGGGGCACATGCTAAAACCATGCCTCTGCAGGACGCAGTCACCTCTTCTTCTCTGGCACTGAGCCAGAGTCCTGGTGACTCATGCCAGACTCACAGCTGTTTCTCTCCTGACAGCACTCAAGAATTCTGCCAAGGGGGCTTTTTGTCCTCAAGAAAGTCAAACATTTCAGCAGATAACAGACATAAATCCTTTTCTAGAAACACACAGGTAGAATCATGCTTGGTCTCTGCCAGAGCATGTGGATTGACCCTTGTCACCAGCCAGCGGGGTCCCTGCCAGGCCCCTGGGCATGTGCATGACCACATACAGTAGCCATCTTGTCACACTCACATCTGAATTGTTATTGGACTTTTAATATGTAAGTGGTGTTTCCCTGATGGGACTGGAAGTTCCTGAGAGCAGGGGCTTATGCTTCTTCTTTTGTTTCTTTCTTTGTTTTAAAACCAACTATGGTCCCTGGCTTATTGATGATACCTAATCACTGAATGAGTTGAACTGATTTTTACTGGGCACAATTATTGGGACAAGGAGGCCAGTTTTGGGAGAGGCTAAAAGCAAAGTATACGCTGGGTAAACATGAGCTTCAAAATTGAAGTCCTTAGGCAGGAAAAAATCAAGCAAGCATTTCTAAGATAATAAGGAGGCAGTGTAAAACCCCAAAGATTGTGAGGTTCGTATTGACCCTCAGCAGAGAGGGGGCAACTGAATGAACAAGCAAGTTACTTGGTTCCAAAGAAAACTCAAGCATTTTTCTCGTAATATCTCAACATGACACTGATTCTCCTTAAAGGGTAAGAAAAATAACATGGCAGAAAATACATATTCTGAGCTCATAGCATTGTTATGATCAATAATAACAAAGCAGTAGTAGTAATAATGACATTCTATTATAGTCCATGCTAAATTGCTACATATAAAATGTAAATCCAATATTGCAGGTGGGTTTACACATTTCTGGAGATCTGACTTACTTGGGCTGATCAAAAGTTGGGTGCCAGTTCCAAATATGAGCTTCTGATAGCCTGTGCTCACACTCTGACATAACCTTATACAAAATGGTACCCTGTAACTGAACCCTAGTCAGGGATTCCTGTGTCATGCAGAGGTCAAATACCAAGCATGTTCCCACATCTGTGTGCATGTGCCAAAGTGGGAGGAGGTGTATAATTTTACTGTTTAACTTTCATTTTCCTAAGACCAGTGGAAGATGACAAGAAATAAGGCAGAATCCAATAGAAGATCCTGCTTTATATACAGTAGATTATATAAAAAATATTGTACAAAAAAGGTCATGAAAATTCAGGTTGAAAAAGTCATTCATATAATTACAGACTTTCAGTGCTAGCCAGGACCTAGGGTAATTTTATGGGCTTATCCATTCTCACTAAGTGTTCAGGACATGCTTCTTGTATTACTGATGCTCACGGATGATAATGCAACTCTGTCATTGCTAACTTATCTTCTTACTTAAGAAGGTGCAGACAAGGGGCACCTGGATTGCTCAGTCATTAAGCAGCTGCCTTCAGCTCCAGTCATGATCCCAGAGTCCTGGGATCTAGCCCACATCCCGCTCCCTACTCAGTGGGAAGCCTGCTTCTCCCTCTCCCACTCCCCCACTCCCCCACTCCCCTTGCTTGTGTTCCTTCTCTCGCTGTCTCTCTCTCTGTCAAGTAAGTAAATAAAATCTTTAAAAATAAGTAAATAAATAGACAAAACTATGCACACCCCCTCAAATAAATCAATGAGAACAGATGTCCCTCAACTGTAATCCACATCAAGATATTTCATAGAACTTACTTGCTTTAACAAATAGTCTTGTTCCTGTCCCAATTTTGAAGACTGCATTATTTCCCACAGTGATTTTTGCTATGACAAAATGGGCCATTTCCTTCTCCTTCCATTTTTATACCACAGCTTGGGAAGCAGGCCCAGGGCGCCTATGGGAAGGTGCTAATAATAAGGAACACTTTTTTATATTTCCCTAGTAAAACTCATTTGTTTTTTTCCTGTGTTGAACATAATCTCACACCTCCTACCAGGTTCACCAAACACTAGTCACTATTCTATGAAATCTGGGGAACAGAATACCCAGGCTTTAGTCCCAGCCCTACTTTTCACTGACTTGATGATGTTGGACAATTCAACCAACCTCTCTGAGTCTTAATGTCCATATTAGAAAAATAAAAAGCTCTGAATTAGATGATGTATAAGCTCCCTTTCAGAGCAGAAGTTCTGGGATCCAGCAATGTCCAAAGTGCCTTTAATGTTGCATTTTATATAAATCACACCTGTGTCAGGCACTTGCTGATCAGTTACACTGGTGACTGGTCTACCTGGGGAAAACACAAGATACAGTGAAACAAAGGGAGAGTCAGGACAAGGGAGTGGTGGCTGTAAGCTCCCTTGTCTTCATGAGGGTAAATTCTCCCAGTAGCCCCTGTACTTTTTGTCTCTTCATGAAAAAGGGAAGAGAATTCTTTGGACATTTAGGGCATTCATATCAAAATCTCCCAAAGCTCCATCTTTAAGTCATGGCAGTATTTAAGAATAGAAAAGATAAATTCCATATTTTTCCTTAACTCACTGTGATTGGCATTGTCTCTCATTTCTAAGTAAGCCCTGGTACAGAGTCTATGACAGAGTGCAGTAGAAAGAGGAAGGCTTTGAGATCAGAGCCTGGTTTGAATCTAGACTTTTCTACTCACTAACACTGGGATCTTGGGGATTTACTTTTCTGGGCCTCAGTTTCATCTTCTGTAAAATAGGGACACTGCTCCTTGTTCCTTAGAATTGTTTGAGGATAAACAATACTGCATGTCATGGACCTAGCACTGAATCCACACACCCTGGGAAGGTAGTTATTCTTTCTGTGTTAAGTTAGAATATTGATTAACAAGATTATTTTCTCAGGGTTATAGAAATATTTGTTTATGAAATAATCATGACAGTCTGAGCCCTTGAGTCATATAAACTCTTGGGTAGTATAGGAGTGAGGTCCCAGAAGCACAGATTTTGAATGCTTTGCCCTAC